CACTGTTCATGGCCACGTGTTTCATAGACCAACATCTGGTCTATGTAAGGTTAGCCACTGCTGTCATTAATTGCACAGGCTTACTTTATTCCCATGACCCCTCTAAGATCCATACTTGGCACTATTCTTCCCTGACCAATCAACCAGTTTATTTATATGAGACAAGTATTTGGGCCAGAGTGTTTTCTTTTAAGGGGCGGTGGGGCAGGAGATCACAATGCTGAGGGGATTCCTCCCCAGAGGTTGTCTCTACGTTCTCACACAGAGTGTATCATCGTCCTAGACCCCTCAGGTCATAAGGAATGCACAGACCAGGAAGTGCAGGCTCAAGTTATCTCAGTGTCGGGGTCTCCCATGCCTCCTCTAGACCCATCATGTCTTAGAAGTTCCCCAACCAAGTAAGGCAGTTTCTCATACAGATCCCAACCCTTCCCCATGTATTGCGTATCTATTCTAACACACACGTGCCCACCCACACCCACCCACACCCACACATAGGCATGCAGGCATGCATACACACACAAGCTCCAGAACAAGGCTGATTAAACTGTCAGTGGCAGCGGCAGGGGAAAGGCCCAGAATTCAGAAAATGGTGGCAGGTGGGAAGTGTCCAGTCGCTCATAGCTCCTGGGAATTATATTTATGGGAGAAATGCCTTCCTTTTCTCCACAGACATGGATTTCCTGGGCTCAGAGCCCTCCTCAGCTCTTCTTCTTTGCTTACTCAAGGACACGGTCTTTGGACTTTAGTCCATATGACCTTGCATGGGTGGCCAGGATCTGTACCTCCTTTGGCTTAAATTTCAAACTCTTCACGAAAGAAGGGGATGGTGGCCCAGAGGGTGGGAAGGGTTCCTGGAGGTTCTCCGCAGCTGCTCCCAGCTGCTGGGACATGCAGAGTTCTCCCAGAAACCGGAAGTGCTTTTGCTCAAGTCCACTCTCTAGTGGCCTTGAAAAATAAGGCCATGATCACATAAGGCCAACAAATCTCTAATTTTGATGAAGTCAGGAGAGCACTAACTCCAAAACTTCAAGCTGGGTACTCTTTGATCTTTTCTGTATGCTATAATGTGAAATTCTTTGCTGAAATGGTCAAGACTTGCTAATGAAGGCAATTAAAATGTGAACCATGTTAGTATGAAAGACAGCATGATGAATGCTTCCTATCGTGGGCCAAATAAAGATAGTGTCACAGAAGCCACTTATGAGCATGTCTGTTTATGTGGATGGATGGATAAATAGACGGAGGACAGACAAAAGCATAGTAGGCCCTCTTTATCTACTGGTTGCACACCCAGAGACTCAGCCAACTGTTTGAAAAACGTGCAGAAAAATATTTCATCTGTGCTGAGCGTGTCCTGACTGTTTTCTGTTACTATTCCCTGGACAATACTGTAGGAGCTCTTTACATAACATTTACGTTGTATCACGCATTATAAATAATGTACACATGATTTAAAGTGCAGAGGAAGATGCTTTAAATTATGTGCAAATACTATTTAGCAGGAGAGATTTGAGCATCTGTGGAGTTTGTTACAGGCAGGAGGATGGGACCAATGCCCCACAGATGCCGAAAGGAATGTGTGTGTGTGTGTGTGTGTGTGTACATGGACATATGTAGTTTATTTAAATACATTACAAACAAGCATCCTTTGTCTCTGTGGGGGAAATGGAATACCTTTCAGTTGGTACGGGTGTGATAAACAAGCAGGGAGAGAGGGCCTTTCTCACTCAGTCCAAAGCTCACCCGTCCTTGAGTAAAGGGTGCTGGCTAGTCTTGGCTTTGAGCAGAGAGCTCCACATTTTGAAGAGTGAAAGATTTACCCTCGCTTTTGTGATCATAGCATTCGTATGATGGGAAGGGATACTAGTCACTTGGAATAATTGCTATCCCATAACCTGCAAGCCATTGATATCATGTTTGCTACATTAAGTCAGGAGGGATGTTTTTCATATCCAACAGGGTGGAGTTTTATACCCAGAAACCTCCACTGGAGTATCCTGAGTTATTACATACAAGGCCCCACACAGAGACATTGCCAGGAGGTTTATTAGGGCATCAAAACACTAAATCAGTAATAGTAGCGTCTTGTCTAGAGATTTTGAATAACAAATTCATTTTCATTTTACTATAATTTTTTTTCAGGGATGGATTTATACTCTACTCTGGAAACATAGTATATATTTTTATTTTCTTCTCGATGGTGAAAATATAGAGGAACATCTTAGCCACTAACTAAGATGTTTCTAACTCTCAAAGTCCCTCTCCAAGAGATTTCCTCAAACTTCCTAAAAGTTTCTCCTTTTGTGAGGACAGTAGGGGGCGCTGCTACAGCAAACTCTTAGAACAAATGGTTATTAAGAAAAAGGAAGGAAGGAAGGAAAGAAAGAAAGAAAGAAAGAAAGAAAGAAAGAAAGAAAGAAAGAAAGAAAGAGAAAGAAGCCAAGAATAAACATGTTTTGATTCCCCCATGTCAAGAAGCATCTAAGAATATTACCTATATTTTTCTCTTGCCTAATTTTCTTCAGGATCCAAATAAAAAGTTTGTTTTTTCGCCTCTCTCTCTCTCTCTCTCTCTCTCTCTCTCTCTCTCTCTGTGTGTGTGTGTGTGTGTGTGTGTGTGTGTGTGTGTGTGTGTGTGT